TGGAAAGTACCATATTATGGGGTCTTAGATCCGTACAAAATTTTCCTATCTTAGCCAACAAAAAGTGAGACACTAAGTTCATTGTTGCCCCTCCGTCCGCCAAAATTATATGGTGCCTTCGACCTTAGCCCTTATAAAAATAAGCTTTGGGTGGACTTTCATACCCTCATAGGGCCTTTTGAAGAACACATTTTTCTCTTCGATACATCCATTATTCATTAAAAAATAACATATTGGCCTGTATTTCGCCAATTCTTCCTCTTCGCAATCTTCAATCTCAACAACTTCCGTCACACAGTCATACACCCTAAGAAGTACAAAAAGTACATTATACAAAACATCAAAATCCCCTTCCGAACTAGAGTCTAAGTTGTCTATAATTAATTCACCTTCTTTTGCTTGCTCCTCTTCCTTGGCTTCTGACTTTGCCTGAGTTGTCTTGGGAGAGAACAAATTTCTTCCTACTGGATTTTTTGCTTAATCATTTGTCTTATTCTGATATTTCTTATTGTTACTTGACTCTGAAGCATCTCTCTCATCCTTTTTCTTTCTCTAGAACCTCCTTCATTGCGTCCTTGACATGGGAGTTTTACCTTTGTAACTGCTAGGTCCATATGAACGCCTCTCTGAAATTTGAAAATTCTCTCGATAAGTCATAGAAGACCCTCTTCCATTCTCAAAGTTCCTCCACTTAGGATTTCTAGCATGTTCTTTACCATCAGGCTTGGTCCATATTCCTTGAGGAGCATAGGCGTAGGTTTTTAAGTATTAGGCCTCTTCTTTTGTAGAGCAGGAGTGTGTTCCTTTTTTCTGAGGCACCCATCTCTTGTCAAAGTAAAACTAGGGTCTACCATTCTTCCAATTATCTCTCTCCCTTATTTGCTTTCTTAACATTCTCGACCTTCCTTGCAGCCTTCTTGTCAAATACAACAATGCATCGAGGATACATCATCACATCTGAGTCTTTTGCTTTGCATCTATGGAGAAATTCCACCAATCCTTCATTAGCCATTAGGAATACAACTCCGACCTGATCTTCACTCTCTTCAAACTCAACCATGTCGAAATCTTCAGTAATTTCGACCATATTGATTGCCACATGTTCTACGTTTCTAGCATCCACAAATTATAAGGGGTCATAGTCAATCTTCATAGGTGTCTTTCCCTTAGCAAACATCAATTTTCCTTCATTTAGTGTGTACTGAACAAGATCCTTAAAAAGAAAACATTGTGAGGTCTTATGCCCTAGAAAATTATGATACCTACAAAACACTTGTTTCTTTCTTTGTTATAATGGTGGTACTTTTGCGCCTGGGGGCGCAAGCACTTTTCTATCTTCAACCATCAAATTCGAAATCTCATTCCATTTGATTACATCAAAGGTGTAAGTTTTCTTAGGGAACTTGTCGTTTTCGTTAGGTTCTGTAGGGCTTTTCCCACTTGTAGGTGTAAGTAACTTACATACATATGGGGGGCCTGGCTTTAGTTTAGCCACGTGAACCTCAGATTCATCGACATGGCTATATTTGACCTCAAAAATTAGGTCTTGGTTCTCCATGTCAACATAAACTACACATTTTTTCTTACCCTTACTCACTTTGGCTTTCTCAGCCTTTAGTTTTTTAACTTGTCGAACTCTGTTAGCCAACTGTGTCATATCTCTTAGATATTATGTGTCTAATTTCTTCATAATGGAATAGTCTACCCTTCCAGCGGCCATTTCGACAAGCTCATGTTCAGGTACTTGGATAAAGCACCTTGTTTTTAGCAAACATGATCGATTCAAATAATCATCGATTGACTCAGTAAAATTTTGCTTCACGCTCAACAATTATTTCAAACTAATCTTAGATTTCCCCATGTGAAACTGCTCATGAAACAACCTCTCTAATCAAGTCCAATCATTTAATTAATGGGTAGGCAGAGTGGTAAACCATGTAAAGTCATTCTCTGTTATAGAACAAGGAAAAATATCATCCTTAAATTCTCATTAATGGTTATGTCGCCTACCTCAATTAAGTATCAAGCGATGTGCTTGATGGTAGACTCGTTAGTGTCGCCAATGAACTTCGTAAATTTAGGAACCTTCCAACCCCTTGACAATTCAGTCTGCAACACATGCTCTAAAAGGGGAAATGTGTAATTTGGCATCTGAGGCCCATGTTCACCCATTTTACGACATTATCCTTTCAAAAATGTTTGTAAGATTATTTCCCCTAACAGGTTCCCCTTTCGAACCTGATGGGCAACTTGATTAGCATTTTGGTTTTGATTAATGATCATGACAGGTGGATGCTCTTTCTCTCTAGGCAACTCTTGTTCAACCAACTAGGGAACCACTTACTTTCCCTGGTTCACAATGTTTTCCTCCAACACCGCCTCCTCGTTTTGAATTTGTCTCACGACCTGGGTTGAGCAATAGGTCAAACCTGCATTGGTGGTGCGCAAAAAAATCAGCAATTCTTGTCATTTGAGTTGCCAACTGCTGGTAACTCTGATTCATGTTTTGAGTCAATAGGTTGAATATTGTACCTATTTTTTGTGTTAGAGTATTTACCATGTCATGGTTACTCTCACCCATTTGTTGTTGCATTTCCATGACAAGATTAATTGTCAAAGCAGGCAATGCCTGTGCACCAAATCCCATTCCGCCATGTGGTGGCATAGTTTGACCAAGGTTGCTTAAGGCCGAGCCAGATGCCATGATGGGCAAATACATGTTTGCAACGTTATCAACAAATGTTGATGGATTATTGTGTAGACATGCCATCACCGTTGTTGGCATTCCATAAGGTTGTTCACGCCCTGGCATGAGCATTGTGAAATTCGTGGAAAAAAACCTGAAGTCTAACGCCATAATAGGTCTAGGAGTCACTGAGTGACTCTAAGGTATTGGCGACAACACACATAACCGCGACATTCATCTATACCTAGCATCCCTCCCCGTGATGTTCATCTAACCCTATCCTACGTCCCCGGGGTGTTCATCTAACCTTATCCTACGTCCCTTGGGTGTTCATCCATACCCTCTCGTCCGTCCCCAAAACGTTCGTCATAATACCTCAGGTGACCTCGGGGCCTTCATCCCAGGTCAAGGGGATCCCCCCGTATTCTCCGGAAAATCCACATCCTCCTCGGGACATTCATCATGTCTACCACAGAGGATGCTGAAATTAAGAAAAACGGGAGAGAAGAAGTAGAAAACTTACTTGGTACAATAGGCTATGCAGAGAGAAGGCAGAATTCGTGGCGGACGATACGGTGGTTGTGCTGCGCGACAGTGCGTGTACGAAAAATCCAGAGATGACGTGTGATAGTGAGTAAGAATGAAAAGTGATAAAAAGGCAGGCACCTGTCTATTTATAAATGCAGCACGGGACTCGAAGCGCCCCTAGGCACTCGAGTGCCATAGGGTAGCCGTCCTAAGTGGGACAATGGGTGTCAGACACGTGGCCACCGCAAACGGTCACGTCCCTTCGTTTCCCCCTTCGAGCACGAGAAAGAAGGCACCCGACAATCTTCCACCCCCCCGACCTGATAGCCTGACGAGCTCAAGATCCTCGCCTCCTAGTGTCCTCGACATGACAGTCCGGCGAGCTTCATCCTCGCCCTTCTTCGTCCTCGACATGGTTGCCATTAAGTCATCGCTCCTCAGCATCGGAGCTTCGACTTGGGAGGCTCCTGTTCTAGAGTGGGCCCAGACCTGCCCATCCGCTGGGCAGGCCCAACCCAACATTATGTGGTGAAGGCCCAACAAGGCCCAAATCCCCAATGTCAGGCACGGATCTAGATACGTCGGACAGACAGCTCCCCGTCAGGCAGAACAACATGTCTTCCACACATTCTCCACATGCTCCCTCCGCGGAGACACGTCATCAAGCAACTACCCACCTCTGAAAGAGATGATCTAGGGTGAAGACCACATGTTGGTCTTCACTACGCACGTAAGCCCTAGCAGTTACTTGGGTTGGGTCTGGTAATTTGTCCCAATGCAAGTAACAGTTGGCCCTGCGCTGGGGTCTCACTATAAATGCCCTTTTTCACTAGAGGGTCAGGTATTCCATTCTCTACACATAATTTATGTACTTGCTCCCACTCTAGTCTTTTACTCACTTAAGCATCGAAGTGTCTTGCAAGTACACCTCCCTCCTTCTCCCTACCTCTGGTGAGCAGCTTCCAGTCAACGACGCGTGGTCAGTCAGCTATCTCTTTTGATCAGGTACGATGAAATTATATTGTCTTTAAAAGTACGTTTAAATTCCATGAAACAAGCGAGTCAAATCAAGTTACTTGTGAACTTATAACAAGTCGAGTTTGAACTTTAAAAAAATTGTGTCAAACTCAAACTGAAATTTGAGATGAACCAATTCTTAACGAAACGAGTCGAGTTAAGACTAGTTCGATTCAACTCAACTCATTTCTAACCCTAACCCCGTAATAACTTAAAAGGAAAAGAATTAATTTTATACACATATTAAGAAAATTTAAATTTCTATGTTACTTTTGGAATGTGTTTTATAGGAAGATATCAAAACAATTTTAATTGATTGGTATTAATTATAAAAAAATTAAAGATAAACTAAATTAAATGTAATTTGCATTTAATTATATTTTGAAAAATATGAATTTGATAAAATAAACTTTATGTTTTTTCTTATAATTTGTAAAATAAAAATAAGAATTTTTTTTATATATAAATTAGTAAGGACTGAGTATGGTTCCTAAAATTGTAATTTTTTAAATATTATTTTCTTGCAAATGCGAGATTTATTTTATGACTCGGTGAGTATCATTGTCATTTTCTTTAAAAATTGATAAATGCATGACTTTGGAGTAATAAATACATGACAGTAAAACATTACAAGTTCGGTGAAGTTTTTATTTTGGTATTAATTGTGAAATGCACAAGAGAGAAGCGGTCATTAATTAGAGAAATGCATATAAATATCCATTTCATCTTCTTCACTATTATCATTCAAAAAGACAATAGGAATCACAATATGGCCTTATTTGAGTATATCACTTTATTTGTAGTCATTCTCTTCATCATAATATACTATATATGGAGATACAACAAAAATGTAGTTATACCAAATTGGCCTATAATTGGCATGCTACCATCAATGTTGCTTAATCAATCCCATATTCATGATTTTACAACTTTACTTGTGAAACATCATGGAGGCACTTTTCTTTTCAAAGGACCTTGGTTCACAAACATTGCCAACTTTATCCTCACTGGTGATCCCATGAATGTGCAACACGTCACCAGCAAGAATTTTAGCAACTATGGGAAAGGGTCTGATTTTCATGAGATTTTTGAAAACCTCGGTGTTGGTATTTTCAATATGGATTCCAATGAATGGAAGCAAGAGAGAACACTACTTCATTCATTGCTCAAAGCAAAAACTTTTGAGATATCCCTTCAACAAAACATCCAAAAGAAGCTAGAGAATTGGCTATTACCATTTCTCGATGATCAGGTAACCAAAGGTGTCCAAGTACTTGATTTACAAGATATTCTTGAGAGGTTTAGCTTTGATATAAGTTGCACTTTTTTATTTGGTTTTGATTTCATTTGTCATCCTTACAATTTCAATGAAGTCTCAGCTATTTCTGTGCTTGAGGACACAATGCTGTATAGGCACTATATTCCAAAATGTATTTGGAAGCTACAAAAATGGCTACAAATTGGTCAAGAGAAGAAGAACAAGATAGCTCAACAAAACTTTGAACAATTCCTGTTTAAATGTATAACTACTTACAAAGGTGATGAAGAGAAAAGAAGATTGAGAAGTAGTGAAGATGTGGATGAAAGTCATTCATGCTTCCTAAAGGAACTAATAATGAAGAGAGGCTTGGGAAAGGATGAAATGGTTGAGAATGACAAGTATATTAGAGACACTGCTGCCAATCTCTTAAGTGCAGGAACTGCAACAATTAGTTCAGGTTTGAGTTGGTTCTTTTATCTTGTTTCAACTCATCCTCTTGTGGAAGCTAAAATCATTCAAGAGATCAAAGATAACTATGTATCCCTAGAGGAAAATTTGTTCACAAATTTAAGTATGAAAGAGCTTGATAAGCTTGTTTACCTTCATGGAGCTATATTTGAAGCCTTAAGGCTTTATCCACCTATTCCATTTGAGCACAAGTGTGCAATAAAAGCTGATATACTACCTAGTGGACACCATGTTAGTGCAAATACAAAATTAATATATTCTTTGTATGCAATGGGAAGGATGGAACAAGTATGGGGAGAGGATTGCTTGGAGTTTAAGCCAGAGAGATGGATATCAGATAGAGGACAGATTATACATGTGCCCTCTTACAAGTTCATAGCATTCAATGCAGGTCCAAGAAGTTGTTTGGGAAAAGATATAAGCTTAATTCAAATGAAAATGGTTGCAGCTGCAATGTTATGGAAGTTTAATATAAAAATGGTGGAAGGTCAATCTATAACTCCAAGGGTTTCTATTGTCCTTCGCATGAAAGATGGTTTTAAGGCCAAAATCAGTAAAAGACTCATATGATATAAGCATTATTATATATAAGTGTTATGCATATTGTGTGTCTCCTTTAAATATATATATATATATATATATATATATATATATATATATATATATATATATATATATATATATATATATATATATATATATATATATATATATATATATATATATATATATATATATATATATATATATATATATATATATATATATATATATATATATATATATATATATATATATATATATATATATATATATATATATATATATATATATATATATATATATATATATATATATATATATATATATATATATCAAGTATGTCCTAGTAAAATAATGTCTTTCAAATAGTACTATTTTCTTGTTATGTGTTTTAAAGAACATGAATGGATTATAAATAATATTTTATCTATGTTATGCTATACAATTTATCAACAAACTTTCATGAATTTCTATGAATTTTTTAATATTTGATTCTCACAAAAATTAAAGATATTTAAAAGCGTATTTTTTTTTATTATGATGATTAAAGATAATTGTAATTCTCTGAGATTCAATCTATCCTTTTTCGATTCGTAGTTTTTTGAAATTCTTTTTTGATGTCTATTTGATAGAAAAGTTATTATGAAAAAAAGAGAACCCTTTCTACAATAACATTTCCATCAATTAGTCATCTATATATATATATATATATATATATATATATATATATATATATATATATATATATATATATATATATATATATATATATATATATATATATATATATATATATATATATATATATATATATATATATATATATATATATATATATATATATATATATATATATATATATATATATATATATATATATATATATATATATATATATATATATATATATATATATATATATATATATATATATATATATATATATATATATATATATATATATATATATATATATATATATATATATATGCTATTCATATCCCTTCACAATAACATATTTTTAATTTATTTGAATAACATATTTACATGTTATTTAAATCACACATTTTCATATTATTTGAAGAACACATTTATATATTATTTGAATAACACTTATATGTGTCATTTGAATAATACCTCTTCACATGAGTCATATTATATATATATATATATATATATATATATATATATATATATATATATATATATATATATATATATATATATATATATATATATATATATATATATATATATATATATATATATATATATATATATATATATATATATATATATATATATATATATATAATATTTTTACATTCTCCCACTTGACTTGTGAGACTTAATAATACATAAATTATAAAGTGTATTAATGAACCTCACCTGCAATGGTTTCATCATTCAACATAATTAAGAATATAGACCAATAAGAATCATTCTAACACCCTATATAATATATATCTAAAAAATACATTATACGAGTTATTAATATGGTGTTGACACGAACGCAAGTGCCTAATGGCATCATTATACACATGTCCAAAAAAAATAAAATACAAAGTATGGCACATGACATACCATATTGCCTAAAATAAAAACTAAGATCTATGTGCAATATCTTCATTACACACAATCCACACGGAAGATCACAATGATCAATATCTTTCGAAACATCAACATACAACTCCTCTTGATTTCGACATGCAAATAATACTTGGTAAACAACAATAATATTAGGGTGACATAATAATCTATGTGATTTCTCCTATCTTAATGGTTCACTCGACTCTACATGATTTCTAATCGATTTTCTAAACTTAAGTCTTCAAAAGAGAATTGAGACTTAAGCAACTAGGGGATTATAGAAACATGTACACTTGAGTTAGCCAATTCAAAATAATCATTATTCGAAAACCATAACAAAGCATCTTTCTCCGACCAACCATACGTCTAGGATTCTCGAAACGGGTCACGAATCCTTGTATCATGCTTCGACTTTCTTGTAGATTTTAGATTCTTCCATGGGACTCGTACCCACTTTACAAATCGTCACTCCCTATAGAACTCAACACCCATTTCAAGCCTCTTATTCCTCGTATGAGATTCTAACCCACTTTGAGGTTCACGTCCTCTATGGGATTCTAACCCATTTGGTTGCACTATGGGGCTCTTGTGAGGGCAAAGCCTCATATATAGATGTACTCGTTTCGATGATGTCAAAACTCAGCTCCATAGAAAAATATATGTTGGACGTTGTCACCATGTCGCATTTGCATGTCTTGTCTCTCATAATTAAAATGCTCGTAAAAATCACGATTGTTGCATATAGATATCCAAATATGTGTGTCATATATGGTTGACTTAGTCGGTGTTGTTTCCCATACTATAGGTTTCATCAAAAGTGTCGTAAAGCATGAAAATAGGCCTTTTTTATTGTTTTAGGGTTTTGATCGACCAATAACCTGCTCTGGTCGACTCATACTGCAAGTCTTTTTAGTACATTAGTCTCAGGAGGGTTCGCGTCGACCCTTCGGTCAACTCATACTATAACCAATTTCGTTTGGCTAAAAGTGCATGTGGTGCATCGACGCATGATAATTTATTCGAGGGAGGTTAGACTAAGGCTATGGAACTGGTTTGGCGATAATCGGTCGGTTTTGTGGAGAGTTATGAAAGTTGGGCAGTGAAAAAGATGTGAAAACAACCAAACAAAACCAAACACATACATACATGATTCATACACAATGATAAGATGATAGAATTTCACACCATTACCCGATTATCCGATTCCTAGCAAGCGTTCTTGATGATTTCACAAATTTTCCTCTTTTTCTTCTCTTCCTCCTTCTTTCTCTTCTATTTCCCTCTATTTCTCTTTTCTTTCTTTTTATTTCCTTTCTTCTATTTTTCTCTCTTATTTCCTATTATAACCTTTTCCTTCTATTTCTATTCCTATTATACTATTTTCCTTAATATTCAATGTTAAATGACCAAAATACCCTCCAATCTAATTTTACCCGAAACTCTCCGAAACGGTAAAATATTAAAACACACTATATTAACACATCAATTCACAATTAAAACAATTATTACTCAAATCAAACAAAATACTCAATAAAATGAAATAATCAAAATCGGGGCGTTACTTGTGCAATCACGATTATAATTCGTATGTGATGAATTATTTGAGAATGCATGAGATTAAGATGCGAGAACGGTCTTAACTGCATTTGGTGGTTGATTGCATATGCATCATTTAGTCAAGAGGCAATGTTTGCTAGTTTCGTGGAGACTAGTGACTTGTCCCAAACCTAGAAGAGTGGTTTGAAAGCTTAGAGGACGGGCTTTTGTGGTTATCGGTCTAGAAGAGTGGACCCGGTTTAAGTGTAAAAACCAAAAAATGATAACGAATGTTGGTACCACATGGCATGAGTTGCATTGAGTCACATGGAAATGTGTAATGTTGTATGAGAGTATGTTTGTGTGAATTGTGGAGTTGAGAATTATGGATGTGTGCATGATGAAATGTGCTTGGTAATTATCCATATTTGTTTGTACATATGTTGTGATGTATATGATGATTAAAATGAATTGTCGTGAGGAAATGCGGAATATGTGTATTCTATGCTTGTGTGTGTGTGTGTGTGTGTGTGTGTGTGTGTGTGTGTCTATATATATATATATATATATATATATATATATATATATATATATATATATATATATATATATATATATATATATATATATATATATATATATATATATATATATATATATATATATATATATATATATATATATATATATATATATATATATATATATATATATATATATATATATATATATATAATTATATGCATTGATTATTATGATAATATTTCTCACCCTTCTGCTATTTTATAATGCTCTATGAGGCATTGCAGATTAGCTTTGATGGAGGTCTTTTGTGAAGTTTAGCTTCATTCTTTTAGTCGGTTATTCTCTGATATGTAGCATCGGATAGTTAGAACTGTATAGTATTCTTTTGGGATACATTTTGTATATGTATCTGATGGTAAATGTTTATGTAAACACGAATGATGTGATGAAACAAACTGAATGATATGTATTTATATGATTACATGTTTTAAGTAATTCAATGTTTAGATTTTCCGCTTTAACTCTAAATATTGAGATGTGGGTGTAAGGACTACGTTCCTCTGTTGAGCTACCCCACTGTTACATGTCTTTTATAGAGCAGGTGTTGTATGTTATGTTGTGCATGATGTGACATACTTCTTTTATACCATGTTTTAATTTTACTCTGATGAAAATTTATTATGTGATTTATTTGTTTATTTGTGGGTATAGAAGGGGGTGTTACAACCTCACCCCCTCACTCCGTGGCTATGAACCAAGACAACCAGATGTATGTATTTCATCTGAACTTATCCTTTCTCAACCAACTCCAAAACCTACATCAGCTTTTGTTCCTTTTAGTCCCATGCCTTCTGATGTCATTCCTTTTGTTAAACCAAAAACTGTTACTAAACCTTCTACACCATATCCTCGTCCTCTTTTCATCATTCCTTCTTTTTCCATACCCTCCTCATCTGAAACCACCAAAACACCCTCTCTAGAAAACTTTCTGAAACCAAAACCTAGAATGAATGTTAGTACTTTATTTGATGGTTTCAAAAAGGAATTGAACATGTGTGAAGGTGAGATAATACTTAGAAAGGGGGGTATTGAATAAGTATGGAAAATTAATACTTGAAAATAATCACACAATTATTTTTATCCTGGTTCGTTAAACAACTACTCCAGTCCACCCTTCCAGAGTGATTTGCCTTTCTCAACAAGGACTTAATCCACTATTAAATCAAACTGATTACAATAGTATCACCTAAGAACAACAGTTATTAGTCTTCTCAAGAGCTACTAATTCTAACTGAATCCTCTTAAGGAATATCCTTTACAATCAATGTAAATTAAATACAAGAGTTTTTAATGCTTCTATAAAGCTATAATCACAA